GGTTACAAAGATTTTCCCTTAAAACTATATTTAATTATTATTTTCCACACATACCTCCTGATAAGAGATTTCACTATAATTCAATACAAGATTTTACCAGTGAAAGTGCTACATTCTCTGGCCCGGGGACAGGATCTCATGTAGCCCAGGCTAGCCTCAAATTGATAACATAGCTGAGGCTGGCCTTGAGCTCTTGATCTCACATCTCTAGCTACCAACTACTGAGATTGCAAATACATGATACATGTCACTACATTCAGTTTTGAATGTAATTTTTTTTCCCTTTAAAAGTGGATGGACATGATAAAGTCTTGTGATATTTATTAAAAGTGCTCAAGAAAAAACTTGGCAAAATATTGTCAAAAGCAAGTATAGATCAGCTGATAAGAGTAGTATATACAAAGGCAACAGTCAATTCTCCTGGGTTTAAAATCGTTTTTCATAATTTGCAGTAAGGAAACGTGAGCTGAGGAGCGTTAGGAGGTCTTTACCTTCATCTATGTCACAAGAGTTGTCCTCTACCTGACCATAAGTCAGAATCAATCAAGAAATGTAAGGAATATATTATACTCACCCCTCTCATCCCAGGTACCACCACGCCTGGGACTTTTGTTTGACTGGTCTGGCATACAGCCCAGTAATTGTTATGTTTTTGTTGTTATTTTTCCTTCTGTTAGAGCCCTTAAATATTTTTAATCCATAGCCAAAGTAGAGAACGTGGAGGTGGGGCTTCCCATAATACAGTAGTATTTGGCTGGAAGGAAGGGTCACTGATAACATGACGTTGGAGCTCTACTTCATACCTGAGCTAGTACAAAAACATTTTCTAGGCCTTTCTTTGGTACAGATGATAAAAATATGCAGGAAATCCTCCAGAACATGGCAGTGGAACAGGAATGGAAAAACGATATTGGTTAAAGAATTCATAAACCAAATAGTAAGGTGTCTCTAATCCACACAATTTAACCTACACTTGGGGGATTTAATCTGCTATACATGTTCAGAATAGAGAAAGCAGGCCTAAGGATGGCTGTCACAAAGTGGTTAAGAAATCACCACTGACAATTACTTCTGAGTTCTGAGTTCGGTCAGCTCTCTGTGTTAAAGGTCTCCACATCCATGGATTTAAATGACTGTATATCAAAAATGTCCAGGGGAGAGTGTACCCGTATTGACCATGGACAGACTCTTCTCTTTCCATTAGTCTGTAAACAATAGTCTGTAACAACTGACATGCCACTTACATTCTTAGGTATCAAAACCAACAGATTATTCAGAGTTTGTGGGAGAGTGAGCACAGGCCACCTGCAAACATTACATCATTTTATATGAACGGCTGAACATCCTCAGATTTTAGCACTGTGGGAACCCTGAACCAATGTCCTTCAGATACTGAGGGACAACTGTAAATAGGACATGACTGGTTAAAATGCTACTTTGACTTAGGCCCAACTCTTCCTGAAAGTGAGGAGCATGGCCATGGACTAGCGTAAGTTTCTGATTTCACGTTCCCTATACATGCCAATCATCCTGACCATGCTTCTTGAACTCGAATTGGGGATCCTGCAAAAGCAAAGGTGCAGATTGAGCAAGTGTGGAGCAGGCGTAGGATCTGGGGTGTCTCACAAGGACCCAGACGCTCCTGGCACAAGACAGCTGCTTTGAGCAGCAGTAACTCAGAAGACTGTTAAGAGGACCAAGAGAACTGACCTACACAAGGCATCCGTGCAGTCCCATCAGGGTCCTACAGAGCAGAGACAGGAGCATCATGATGTTTGAAACTAGGAAGTGCATCTGAGCACCCTGTCTTTTCTAGCTGTAGAAACGATGGGCACAGAGTTCCGATGGCTTCCCTCCTAACAGTCAGAGATGGAGAATGGAGAATAAGAATGAGACATTCAAGATGTCAATCAAGAAGGCTGGGGGTGTAGCTCAGTGGTGCAGAAGAGGCCCTGGGTTCGATTCCCTAGTGTAACAGCAAACAGCTGAATGAGGAGAAGCTCAGAGAGTTTTCAATTCCCTACAAGGGAAAACCATCAGCTGCAGGACAGCTTGGCTAACTAAAGAGGCACGGCATAGTCAGTTATGCACAAAACGCTAGACATCAAAGAGAACGTCCCTGCTTTCCCTCCCTACTCCAAGCCTCTTCCTGAAACCTGCTTCTCCATCAGAAGCCCTGCAACTCCTCCTCAGCTCTTCCACCCTCCTGATTCCCCCGTCAACAAATATTAGTAGTGGTTCCTTCAAAGTGGTCCATAACCGTTACACCTCAGTGACTCCATTAAGACCATGCTGAGCTTGCACCTCTTCCTGGATTTCTGAGACAGACCACTGATACATTCATGCGTCTTCATCCTGCATGGCAGTCCGGCTGCCACTTCTCTAACAACTTCTAATGTTCATATCTCATTCAGAGTAAAAAGCAAGGTCCTTCTAAGAGCTTACAAGACCCTACATGATCTGACCCATCCAATCCTTGACCGCGCTCCACCTCCAGCCACCCCTGAAGTTAGTGTTCTCTGAATCATAGCCACAATGCTCCTGCCTCAGAACCTTTCCACAGCCTCTTCCTGTTAACTCAAGTACACTGGTTTGGGACCCAGCCTTACCCCTTCTCAGAAAAAGGGAAAAAAACATCCTAGATACAAAATTACTTGTTTTCTTCTTTTATAACTGAAATCTTTCATGGAGCTTAAGAAAACAGCTTCCATGGGGTAGCATGGATAGGCATCAGGCAGAGAAGGCTGGAACATGGCATTCAGGTGGATTCCTTCACAGAACAGGAAGTCACCCAGTTACACAAAGGATTCTCTGGGGACCATCATGGGCAGCTGTACATGGATGTTCTGGGTCACATTATCCAACAGCAGGGGAATGTTCATTTAGTATTGTGCAGTGTGGCCTCTCCAGTCACTCAGCTTATACGGCTCAGAGATTAAGGGCACTCTTGGCTCAGACAAACAGCTTCAGGGGAATGGACAAAAATCCATGTGATGTATGTGGGAATTACTGTGAGCAAGGTGAGGAAGGGAGGGAGACAGGGAGCTCTGGACTGAGCAGAAGTGCCTTGAAGAAGAGGGTGGCATCTTCAGCTGTATTTCCTCCAAGCTTTTACTTTCGGGGCTCCTCTCCTGTCCCATGGAAGGAGCCAGAGGGGCAGGAGCTGCCTCAAGGCCATGTGCCCTAGTTTAAGCAGAGCACTGCTTTCAGGAAGTCAGGGAGCAGCAAGGCAGTCAGTCTTTCAGAAAAGCGATTTCTCAGCCAAGGAGCCAGAATTCCTCTTGTAAGGAGTATTCCTTGGGACTCTTCCTCCAGGCCCACCCAGTGTGGGAACTGGGAGAACCTGAGCACATGGGAAGCAGCCCTTGCAGTAAAGGAAAGAGGCAGAGAATTGGCCAAAAAGATGAGGCATTTACAGCCCAATTCAGAGACGGGCTTCATTCCCCTTCTCTTGTACAGCCAAAGATGACAGCTTGTCTGAGATAACAAGGAAAACCTACCACACAGGGGCAGGAACACAGAGATTTCAGCCCTCACATGCGCTTTGGGGAAAGTGTGTATCCTTGGTCCTGATACGGGCACACACCACACCCCACACTCCTGTGGGTTAGGTGAAGCACTTCCATTCATATCTGTGGTCTGAGAGACACAGTCTCATCCACTGAGGAGCCACACACAGACTGGACAACCAAGCCTCCTAGGAAGTCACTGGAATCAGTATTTCTTCACTTAATTCTCCCCTTTGGAGTAAAACGTTAGCGATCATTTGAGAAACTTATTAACGTAACCACGGGCAGGAAAAATAAAGCCGTTTTGACTATAGAAAAATGTGACAAACTTTTAACACTTGCCTTCACCACACACATTTAGAATATCTTATTAAAGGTAGGCTGTTTAAGTCAGCTGACTGCTCTTTGACAGCCAAGCACTTCTCTACCCTTTAGGTAAATGTATTTTATATAACGAACTGGCAAAACCTGAGAAATACTTGCACTTAATAGTTTGCACAGCAATAGCGAATCGCAGTGTCCACATGTGTCCATCAAGGCCCAGATCACTCTCATCCCATTTTGAACAACCCAACCACAATATGCCTTTTAAAACTTAAAACACTTACACTGGAAAAAAGTCTGAAAATTTGAGTCCTCCAGCTGACAAGACGCTCAGGCAACATTGTAAAGGAACACATCTCCTCTCCTGATGACCGGTGATGAATGAGAAGACAGTGGGACCCAGGGCAGTGGGAAAAAGCAAACTGCTCAAATAAAATGCCTTCTTCTAATCTTAATTGGTCAAATGCCAAAGTAAATGAACTTTTCAAAGTTAGGATCCTGCCAGCTCTAACTAGGGCAACTGCCAACTGCACAGGACACCACCAGCAAGCCCACCAGTGTAGTATGCCAGGTTGCAGCAGCGGGACAAACTGGAAACTAAGGCCTCTGTGCCTGCACACCTTGCGACATGCAGCGATAGGGTTCAAGCCCAGCTACCTTAGACGTGTGGCATCAGGGCCCTGCCCCATGCACAGTTTTATCTTTCCCTTCTCATCCCAGAGCAGGAGAAGAACTGGGCACTCAGGCTAAGCAGCTCCGGGTGGGAATCAGTTGCAGCCTGGTTCCCAACTTCCGAGAGTTACCTGGGCTCTTCGATCCCTTTCCCAGCTCCGAGGCCTCCGCGGCCTCCCCTAGCTTTTGGAGCCAGCTGGTAATATGTGGTAGTCACAGCTCTAAGCTAAGAAGCTGTCCCCAGGAGCCAAGCGCAGGTGGCGGCGGGCGTGGTTCCTCCAAGCCTGCCCCAGCCCACCCCGGCTCGGCCTCCGCTCAGCAGCCTCCATCCAGTTCTAGCATCAGGCCACGATGTGGTGCTTTTGGAGAGCTCCTTGGGCTCAATGGTCACCCCCTGCTCTCCTCCAGTCTGTGTTGCTCTCCTGGCTCAGGCCCTGGCGCGGCCCCAAGTCCTCATCCCAGGGCCCTCGGGTCGCGCCGGGCGGCGGCGCTTACCTGGGTCTCGGAGCCGGGGTCTAGCACGGTCCCGCAGGTGGTAGATGAAATCTTGGCAGCTGTCGTGCTCCAGGGCCCCTCGGGCACAGAGCTCGGCCAGCAGCTGCAGCGCCTGGTGACAGAGCGCGTCCCTGGCCCCGGGCATCGCCCCCCCGCATCCTCGGACCGCGCCGGGCAGGCGGGCGCGGGAGAAAGCCCTTCGCCTGCCAGCTCAGAGCCTCCGC